GGGGCTGTCACTAGAGTAAGAGAGGAGGAGTAGACTTAGTGGAGTAGACTTAGTCGCCCCTGGGGACAGGTGAGCCAAATTATGGATTTTCTCACCTGGTAGGTAAGGGAACTGACTACTTGTTTTTAGAAGCCTTTTTCAGCTCTAAGATCCCTAGGATGCCAACTTGAACTTTGCAGGTCTGGCTGGAACAAGCCAATATGGTTTTGGAAAATCACATAGACAGACTCATGAGCAACAAGTGGAATGGACTGAAATTGCCTAAAGTTTAAAGAGCAGCCTTCCTCCCCACTGCTGCCAGACCAAATAAATCCAAAACAGGTTTCCTCTTCTGCCTTCCCAGGTTATGAGACAGCAGGTTTGCACCGCAGATGTTCATTTATAGAGTGCTAGACTACACCTGCTTCGTGCTAGGCTTGTGCTTTGGGCGTTATTTCATTTGGAAAATATTATTTTTAAAAAGCATCATCTTAAGGGATCTTGCCTTCTGAACTGTGTTTCTTGTCAAGGTTCTAAATCGCTGAAGCAGCCTACTCATTGTCCATCCAAATAGGATTTTAACCCTCTATCCTGCCTCATCTTTGCCTGTACTGGAGATGCCAATCATTTCTTCCCCATCCCCACATCTCCTTCCAGGAACCTGCCATCCCCGTTTCCAAGGAGCCTGCTCTGCTCTCAACCTCTCCTGAGTCAGTGTTTAAATCTGTAACACTGTAAAAAATAAACAACCACCACAAAACACTTACTGATCAACTTTGGAAGATTATTTTGAAAACCAATAAATAAAGGAGGGAAAGTTAAGCATGTATCCTTCCTTTTCTCTATGAATCTTAAGCTAATCTAATAGTTGACGAGGGGGAGTTTGTCTTCATAGAAGCTGAGAAATGAAGACAGAAAGATAAAATCATGTGATCTTTTTGCAAGCCCTAATGGATTAATGGGATCTAGGGAGTGACCATCAATGGCTATTATGTCACAAAAGAAAAAAAAGACATTCTGTGTCTCTGAATGGAAGTCATGATACTGCTTGTGAAAGTGAAAAAAAAAACTGAAGGTGAATCTTATTAAAGTTTATAGACTAATGTTTATAGGAAATACAGAGGACAGAGGAACATGTTAAATGAAACCAAAGAGTTATAATCACCATAATTTAGACTATGGGAAACTTCATGAGACAAATGATCCAGTTTTTCCAACAAATTGCATGGGAAAAAATCCAATACTGTAAATCAATCATCCTTCAATTAAAAATAAATAAATTTTTTTTAATTGCATGGGAAAGAAGTGAGATGGAGGGGGAAGCCTACAGATTATTTAAGAATCATGTGAACCAATCGTAATGTGTAGACCTTGTTTGACTCCTTATTCAACAAACCTTTAAAAATTATAGGAAAAATAAGGAAATGTGAATAATTCCTGGATATTTCATAATAAGAAAATATTGTTGATTTAATAGTTGATGATAGTTTTGTGGTTGCATCTTTTAGAGGAAATCTTTACCCTTACGCTTAGTGTTCCATATTGAAACATTTACACATGAATAAAATGACACCCCAAATTTCTTTCAAAATAATCATGAGGAGTGAGAAGGGGCAGTCTACAGAGAGAACTAGACAGTCCCTGTGCTGTTAACTGATGAAGCTGGGTGAAAGATAACTAGAAGTTCACTCTACAAATCTCTACAGCTCTATATATTTGAAATCTTTCTTTCTAAAATGTCAAATTTTAAAAATTTAACATCATTTTTATTTCTATTTTTTAGATGTCTTATATGGGTCATATTAGTATAGTATTTTATGTTTATTATGTATAAATATAGATTTGTCAAGTTTTACTTGTTCATCACTGCTAAGGATACACAAAAATTTGGGGGTTTTGTGTATTTTACACTTGCATGCCCAACTGGACTGGAAGGTCCATGGAAGCAAAGATCTTCCTAGTATATACTCCAGAGAGTTAATATCTTGAATAGCATGTAAAGGGCTCACCTGCAAATACAACTTGTTAAAACATCATTCCATAAGGTGGTGTTACTCACCTGGACTCCTATTTGTGGACACCTCCATCCTGACTTCATTGTCAGTGGAGGATGGACAGCCCACATGACCAGTCCAACCATTGGGAAGAGTTGGTTTGCTCGAGGCTTTGTAGAAAAACCTGAAAAGATTGAGACTAACTAAATCTGTGCTATGGAATGGAGAACTTGATATATTTACTATACAGTTAATATTACAGATGCTACAGGAGAGTTCTCATTTTTAAGTTCACTCCCTCCTTATAAAGGTAGAAAGTAAGGTGAAACCCCCAGCAAGGTGTGGCTGCAAAACATCTGTCCAGATTCTCCTTGCTATTGTCTCTGGCTCTTTCTCTCATGCTTTGTTTTGCCCCAAAAACATCTGGTGTGAAAACAGTGGTCCCCATATTAAAGCTCTTCTGGCTTTATTAATTTATTCTTTTATTTGGCTGCACTGGGTCTTTGTCTTGGCATGTGACCTCTTCATTGTGGCATGTAGGATCTAGTTCTCTGGCCAGAGATTGAACCTGGGCCCCCTGCATTGAGAGTGCAGAGTCTCAACTACCAGACCACTAGGGAAATCCCAGAGCTCATCTGATTTTATGAAGCTCTCCATCTCTCTTATTTCCAGTTGCTCAAAGTTCAGATTTCCCAAGATTTCCTCAATTTCCTTTACCTTGAGCTGTTACTTTTTTTAGTTACACAGAACTTGAACGCACTTCCCTGCTTTGCAGATTTACCATCAATCCTCTAATATTTTTCACTCTAGGAGCACCTTTTCCTTTGGCACCATGTAACAATTCTGTCCCTTTGTTCCTTGAGAGCTGAGCTTCAGGATTGCATGGCTAAGTCACTCAGTCAGGCCCGACTCTTTGCGGAGCGTAGAGCATGGAGCGTAGCCTGCCAGGCTCCTCTGTCCATGGAATTCTCCAGACAAGAATTCTGGACAATTCAGACAAGGGTTGCCGTGCCCTCCTCCAGGGGATCTTCCTGACCCAGGGATTGAACCACATCTCTGTCTTACATCTCCTGCATTGGCAAGTGGGTTCTTTATCGCTCGTGCCACCTGGGAAGAGCTTCAGGATTGGGGGAGGATATTTATCCTGGATTGATGTCTTGTAGGAAAACCAGTTTGCAATTAGAATGTAATTTATGAAAGGACCAGCCCTTTAAGTAACTTCCCTTTTAACTAGTTAAAAATCACCCAAAACCTGGGTCTGTCTCCTTGTCTGTGTACAATCTGTTACTCTTTCCCAGAAGACTTCAAGGTGGTACTATAGTATCTGTTTGTAGAAAAGTATATTCTATTTACCTAATCCAGATTTTAAGAGGAAATCTTACACTCAGACATCCAAATGCTTTGGAATGTGCTCAGATTCAACAGACTGTGCAATTTAAATTTATAAAACAATAGCTCTGTTGATAAAAGCCAACAGTAGATGCCAGGCACTATTCCAAGGGTTTTACATGCATTAACTCATTTAGTTAGTTCTATTATTATTCCCATATTTTATGGGTGGAAAAAATGAGGACAAAGTTTATTATTAGAGACATAGCACAATGTATGGGAGAACACACAGATAAAGTTTATTTATTTGAGGCAGAGTTATACATCAGGAGAGGAGTATGGATATCTTGAATGAGGGCTGCAGTAAGAGGTGATTTAAATCCCATATAGAGCAGGGGTCCCCAACTGTTGAAATGGGGCTGCGCAGCAGGAGGTGAGTGGCAGGTGAGCAAATGGGAAGCTTCATCTGTATTTACAGTCACTCCCCATTGCTCACATTACCATCTGAGCTCTGCCTCCTGTCAGCTCAGCTGTGGCATTAGATTCTCACAGGAGCACAAACCCTAGTGTGAACTGTGCATGTGAGGGATCTAGGTCGTGTGCTCCTTATGAGAATCATCCTGAAACCATTTCCCCCCAGCACCCCATGGAAAAACCATCTTCCATGAAACTGGTCCCTGGCACCAGAAAGGTTGGGGACCACTGTTACAAAAGACCATCCTTCTGGGTCTTTGTTTATATTTGGTCAGTTACCTTCTCTTTTCACACCTGACTGGTCCTAGGACCCGCTCCAACATACGTGCACAACTTTTTGCTGAGATGGATCCCACTGCAGAGGCCTATGGGCTGTTCACACTTATTATGGGGTGGTGTCCCCTTCCCTTTTGTCCCCCAAAGAGCCTCCCTGCGCATGTGCAGACAGGGAAGTTTTCCTTGACCTTAGGAGTGGTCATCTTATCTCTTTACTTCAGCAGAGCTCAGCTTCCACCACTAGCTTTGTTCTTGGAGTGTCTGGGTGAGAACAAAGCTTCTGTTTTACTCCACTTGACAAATACCAGCTGTCCAGCCCAGGGGCCCATCTATCTCATACCTCATGACCACAGGCAGCCTGGCTCTGAGGTGTGTGGCCTCTCTCCTGGAGTGACCCGGTTGGGAAGAAGAGAGGGAGGCCTGGAAGAGTGAAGAAATAGCCTACCAGAGGAGAGGGAAATCTCGGGAGAAAGAAATCTGTGGGAAAGCTCTTGAGGTTATTTTAGACAAACCAATTTTTGAGATTCCTAAAGCTGAAGTTATATAGAGTTACCCTGGTTTTTACTAGGCTATTTAGTAGAAAGAGCTGTGGTCCAACCTGGCTCTCTGCCATCTCCGTGTGATGCAGAAAAGTCACTTTGTCACTCTGGGTCCATTTCTTCATCTAAAAAAGAGAGAAATCCTGTGTATTGGTATCTGCCGTAAGTAATGATCGGAATCTGTTCACTGTTACTATGAAGGGAAGTCTATCTCTGAGAAAGTTCTAAGGGTTTCCATCTTTAGATGAGTTTAGGAGGACTCTGGTTTGGCTCCTGAGTGTAACAAATTCCTACTATTCAATTATTTGTTTGCAGGGTACCACATTCATATGTTTTGTAGAACTCATACTTGGAAATGCTGACGTCAGACTTCAAGACAGCTGAGCCCCACTAGACACCAGGAAAACCCATGGCCCTGGTTGCATCTTTCAACATGACCAATCCACAGTAAGTAGCACTGGGATCTGCTTTCTGCGGGTGCTGAGTTGGTATGTCTGGATAGGGGAAATAGCCAATAGCTCCTTCCCTAGCCCCATAGAGATGGAGGGGCTCCAAGTGGTTTTGTCCTTGAGCCTGACATTAAAATAACTTGTTAAAATCTACTTTTTCTCTGAGTTGCCTTACTCATGTCATCTCATTTTTTTAGTTCAAAGAGGCAGAGGAATTCTGCAATCCAAAACTGGGGTTGTAGGGACTAGCCTGGTGGTCCAGTGTTTAAGACTGTGGTTCCATTGCAGAGGACTCGGGTTCGATCCCTTGTCAGGGAACTAAGATCCCACATGCCACACAGTGCAACCAAAAGACAAAACAAAACTGGGATTGTAATCCCATTGCTAGTCCAGTGGAATTACTAATATCCCATCGGCCAAAACAAGTCTCTTGACTGAACACAGCATCAGAGGTGGGAAATATACTCTTCCTTTTGATGGGAAGCTGCAGAGTCACATGGCAAAATGAGGAGTGCAGAAAGGAATCACTGATACATGTTGTCTGCCATACTGTTCTTCTTACTGAAGACCAGGGACCAGTCCCAACACCCAGACCTTTACTCCCCCTAAAGGAGGCCTTGTCTCCTTCTGCTGAAAGATGACCACATGAGGCGAGATGGTGCTGGGCCATGGTGCTATGACCATTAGCAGGAGGGGAAAAGAGAGCAATAAAGTCAGAAAGACAGAAGTAGCTTATCCCACGCTTCTCAGGACCACATCCTGTTAGTCTCAGAAACTCACCCCAGCCCTCCACGAACATCCCATGCATCAGAAAGCCCCAGTTCAGCAATCCATAGTTTCCAAAAGAAAAGAACAAATTCAGCCCAGTGTCATCTAGTTTTGGGGGAACATCTGAAGGAGTCAGGATTCCCGCATGAACAATCACACTTCTGTTCTAATTGTTGAGAAACACAGCAACTTCACATCCCGTGACTGTTCAGTCTGAAGATCTTGAGTCGTTTTGTAGATGTCACACCATGATGAGTACCATTATCCATGCTTGACAGGGAGCAAAGAACTAAGGTTTAAATAAGGCCCACAGAAGAGAACTCGGGCACTGGAAATTACTGGGTGAATTCAGGTGGCTTAGGCCACCAACCTGTGGTGCTCAAGAAAAATCCCTGTTTTCCCTCAATTACCTGGATGATTCAAGCAAAAGAGAAGTAGGCAGATGCAGCTCCAGACTTTCCAGATTGCTGCCACTGTATATTATTGGGTAGCTTTCAATAAATAATAATCTTGGTACTTGGAAAAGCTGAGCATTTAGAACCATCCAGCCCAGTGTAGGGACTTCTCAATCCAGAGTCCCCCCACTTCCTCTTTCTCATACCCATGTCAGGTCATAAAGAAGGGGTGGCACCTCTCTTTCACCTCGAGCCTCTGCTGGGGAAACTGAAGCCCCAGAATGCAGAGGCCCACAGAAGTCAACGCTGGAATCCGCACTTGAGCCCAAGAACAGTTTAACACAGACTGGGCTGTCACCTCAGCCTTACCACTGGCCTCTCAACGATCCTTGGATAGTTAATTCTTACTCCTCCTCACTGTTTGGCCAGAGGCATAAGACCCAGCCCCTCAGATTCTACGGGATGAGCTAGGCTCAAGGATTTGTTGGGGAGACCAAAGACGGCACCCCAGGAGGTGAAAGCAAAATGATCCAGCTTACCATGTCTTCACAGGGTAGCTGTTGGGGCTGAGAGGAAGAGTTCTTGGTTACCCAACACACTGCAGGGTGTGTAATGTCCCCTTTCCTATTGATGTTGTTAGTGACCTCCTGTGGTCACTGAAGGTCACAGCCACAAATTCCTCGACCAATTGCTAAATACCCTGCTGGGTTGCTTGATAACCTGTTACAGGAGGTAGCCCTGCCCCGGGTTGAGATGCTCTGTAATAATAATGGAGTTGTGGGTTATTTGCAGGGCCCTTGGTGAGTCTGACAATAACCTAGGATGAGACTCACAACCTCTCAAACATTTGATCTATTGATCCCCATTTCCTACTCTCAACCTTAAAAGAGCTGTAACAGAACCAGTGTGAGTAGGAACAGAATGGCATCCAGGACAGCTGGTCCCTACTGTCCTCACGGTCTGAAGGCTCACTTGGCCCCTCCAGATCAGCCCCCTAAGCACCAGCAGTACATCCAGTTGTGAACAAGCACCTCACTTCTCTATTGTGTACAGATGGTAGGACCATTACAAAGAAACCCGGGAGACAATTTACAAGGATATATTAATTACTCCAACATAAAGTCTGGTGACTGAGAAGGCTAAAAGTCTAAATCCTGGCTTTGCTGGTTGGCAGAGTTTCCATCTGGGTCTATACCTACCCCCAAAGCTCATGTTTTCAGATGTGAGCACGCTTCTGTTCTTCCCCAGCTGATGAAGGAGATGGCACGGGTGGTGGGATGGCCAGTGGGGAGGAACGGAACCTCACCCTCCTTTGCTCTGCCCCGCCCTTCTCCAGCACAGCAGTGATCCCGTGCCTACTCCCTCGTCTCCTTGGGGAACAGAAACGTCCCTTTGTTCTTGGGGGATGACTCTGTCCTGTTGCCGTCCTCCCCCACTCAGGCCTGCCACAGAAAGAGGACTTTCCGAAGTTGAGATCATCTCCCAACAAGTAGACGAAGAAACCAAGAGCATTGCTCCCGTGCAGCTGGTGAACTTTGCCTATCGCGACTTGCCGCTGGCTGCCGTCGACCTCTCCACAGCGGGCTCGCAGCTCCTGTCAAATCTGGACGAAGATTACCAAAGAGAAGGGTAGGTGTGGGACCGCTGAGTAGCTAAGAAGTCTGTCACATAAACGCCCCAGGTTTCCATGGGCACCTCCAGGGAGACAGCCCGAGATGAGAGATGCTAGATAGTCAAGAGACCAGAAGTTCAGATCAGGCCGCATGGGCCCTCCTCAGACGTGGTTTCCTCAGAAAAAGGCTGTGGGCACAGAAAACATCGGTTGCTGCCGGACAACTCGTTAAGTGAACATCTGCTTGGAACTCAGGGAGTTATAGTATTTAAAGGCTGTTAAAAGTCCCCGAGGACCCACACAACTCTCAATCTGGACACCTAAGAACTGGGAAACCCACAGGATGAGTGAGTCACCCAGTGGTTCAGAGCCCACAAGGAATGGGTTTAGACTGTGCCTTCCTTATAGCGGGCTTGCCAGGCGGCTCAGTGGTAAAGAATCAGCCTGCCAAGCAGGAAACACAGGTTCGATCCCTGGGTCAGAAAGATGCCCCAGAGAAGGAAATGGCAACCCACTCTGGTATTCTTGTTTGGGAAATCCCATGGACAGAGGAGCCTGGCGGGCTACAGTTCATAGGATCACAAGAGTTGGACATGACTTAGCCACTAAACAGTGTTCTCTCACCAGGGACGGGATCAGGAAGAAAGCATTCTGTGTGCGGGAACATGCTAAGGGCAGAAGGGAATTTAGCAGCATTCAGCCAGGAGCTTTGCAGCCCTTAGCCGCTCCTTTTCTGGTGGCCTCTGATACAGAGTGGCCCCTACCTACTTTTATTTAGCTGGTCAATCAGATTGGATATCCTTGTTCAATCTGGGCAGGGGAGACACAGCAGTGAAACCCTCAGTTTACATGGGGGAAGCGAAAGGTCAGGAACAGGTCCTGGGGTCACAAGGGGTCCGACTTTCCCCAGCCCCACCCTGTGGCTCTTGGATACAGACTTTTAAACATTGGCCCCGAGCTTGGGAGCCAGTTGTGGGCTATTCTTCTTCCCTGGGTGCCGCTGGTAAATATTTTTGGAACACGCCGACTGCTTTGAATATAAAAACTAAGGGTTGCCAGGTTATTTTAGAAGCAAATGAGAAGCCTTAGCTACAGTTAAATTTGCAGAGCTTGGATTCCCCGCGCGGATTTACGAAGGGGCTCCCAGCCTTCCCGAGGTAAATTGCCCAATAATTGTGAAACCATACACCTTGTGCAAAAACTTCACCCCAGTGGCTTTCTCTGAAAATATAATTTTCTCCAAGGACTGTGCTTAGAGTCAGCAGGACACTGGAAACGGATAGGCAAAAGGGTTGGAAATAGTTCGCGATGCCTCGCGGACGGCGGCGCCATCCTCTGAGCGCGGGCTGCGCACTCTGACCACGGGGTTTTCTCCAGGTCCTCGCCTCCGCCAGTGACAGTGGAGATCGAGCCTTCCCTGCGCACCCGGTTCCCGTGTCACTGCCCTCTGGCGGTCAAAATTGATAGTACAACCTGGTATGCTTCCCTCCGCGGTTCTCATGGACTCGTGTCCCACCTCACCTGCACCAGCGTTAGGTTCTTTTCAAGTTTACAGTCTGAAGGCAAGAAGAGGGAAGGATCCTCGCGGGTCCTGGTTCCGGACCATGTCCACGGTCTGCACCCTGTGGGCACATGCACTGCAGAGGTCCAGGCTATGGGGCACCACTCCTTAGCTTGAATTGGAGAAGGCAGTGTCCCCGCTTTGTCATTCCATTGACTTCTGAATCAGGCTTCTGCAAGGTTTCTTCTGAGCAGGGAGAATACAAATAGGATGCCTGCAAGGCAAAGAGGCTCTTGATTTGATCTGAGTCTCCAGGTGCGCCCTGGAACGCTGCTCCTGTTGAGTAAATAGGAAGCAGGCTGGCAGAAGGGACTTGCTTCGCTGCTGGAGTTCTCCTCGGGGGGCTCCGTTGGCAGCCAGAGGGCTTCCTGGAGGAAGGAAGAGCAGGTACAGGACACCAGCCAGAGCCCGAGGAAGCAGAACCAAAGCACGCTGTGAAGGGGGAAGAGGCTCTCCTCACAAAATTCTTCTTGGCTCTTGCTGCACTTCCTGGGGTTCTCCCAAAATTTCCAACCTGGCCTCTTCTGGCACGATGCAAAACAACATGATTTCTAGGTCTTTGAAAAGCTGTTCTGTAAGTCTTGTCAAATACACCTCTTCCCACTAAGTGAACTGTTATATATAGGAATGAATCTTTTCTGTAGGAAGTGATGGGACCTCAGAGTACCCGGCAAGGGGGTGCCCAGTGACCCAGCCACCTTGCCATTCACTGCTTTTGAGTTCAATGGTATTTCAGTGCTTTTAAGTTCCCCAGAATCTGCGAATGTTAGAGCTGGAGGAAAAAAAAAATCTTAGGACGTGTGTATTCTAAATACTCTAACAGGATGCCCGAGTCCAGGGAGTGGAAGGAGCTTGCCCAAGGTCACACAGTGACTGAGATGAGACAAAGATAGAGCCTTGGCTCCTGATCCAGGCTGGCACTATGGGCTTCCGGTTTGTCATCTGTCCCTTTAGAAAATCACGTTGTAACTGTGGTGTTAGCCTACATTGCACATGTGATACCACTCTTCAGCTATACTGTCAAAAGTGTGCAGTCACTGAAATGTCAGTAAACCCCTAGGCAAAGATGGAAAAGATTCATCTCTGTCAAGCGCCTTGACTTTCTTAACAGACCTTTGTCCTTCTCACGTATCTGCCTGATGGAGCTTAAATTGCAGAGCTCTCTGCTGTCCACCCTCTTCGCTTCCACACCCAGACTGCCTGGGGCTCAGGTGGGAAGGTCAGACACCTGGGCAGATTGGCACTGTCTTAGTTTGGTGGGGCTGCCATAACAAAGGGCCACAGACCAGACAGCTGAAACACAGGTATTTGTTTTTTCACAGTCCTAGTACTGGGAAGTCCAAGATGCAGGGTCAGTGGCTGGTAGGGGCTCTCTCTTTGGGTTACAGACAGCTGCTTTTTCGCTGTGCTCTCAAATGGCCATTCCTTGATCTGCATGAGTGGAGAGAGTGAGCTCTAGTCTCTTCCTCTTCTTATAAGGGCACTAATCCCATCATGGGGGCCCAACCCTGACCTCATCTAAACCTAATTGCCTCCCAGAAGCCCCACCTCCAAATACAGTCACAACCTGCAGTACTGGGGGGCTGGCCAGTGTTTAGGGCTTCAGCATTTGGTTTGGGGGGTGGGGTGGGGGAGAAGGACTCATTCCACCTGTAGCATCATTCCCCAGACTCATGATCTGCAGTCTCAGCTTGCTTCTCAGTTTTGCCTGACAGTCCTCTGTTGTCCTGGTGACCTTTCACTCCTGGTCCCCAGATGGCTATTTCAGATTCCTCCTATTTCCCCCAAGCCGGCTCTTGCCCTCAGCAGATGACCTCATCTCCTCCTTCCCTCAGGAAGTAGAAACAGTCACAGATGAACTGCATCCCACCCCCTCTGTCCCTTGCATCCTCCCTTCTAGGGCCCACCTTACCTCTGAGTGCTGATTCCCCTCCCCTCACACCTTTTCATGAACTTTGCTACCTCAGTTACATCCTCACTCTGACTCATCCCACACTCAGGTCTCTCACATCCTCCCCCGACTCCACGTCCCATTTGCTGCTACCGTCTCTCTCTTCCCGTTTGCAGCCAAACTTCTTAAAAGCTTCATCTCCACTCGCCATGCCCCCTCTGCTCCCTCCCATTCATTCCTCGGTCTCCTGCAGTCCAGCTTCAGCCCTGTCTGCAGGGAAGCTCTCCTCAAGGTCATCAACAGCCTCCATGTTGCCAGGATCTTTTTGTTGTCCTCTGTCCAGCATTTGAGACTGTCAGCCACTCCCCATCTTGAAACACCATCTCCTGCTGCCCTATCACACTCTCCAGATTTTCTTCCTACCCCTTTGGCTGTTCATTCTAGGCCTTTTAAAACTTGTTCTTTCTCTGCTTGGTCCTTGAATGTTGGGTCCTTCATTTTCTGAATTTGGCCATTTTCACTCTACTAATTCTATCCACTGGGTAAGTACATCTACCCCCAAGACTGAAATTAACGTTCTTCAACTGTAGCTTTCAAAGCCACATCCTGAACACAGTTCTCTTCCTTTCTCTCTCTCTCTCTCTCTTTCTCTCTCAAACTCCTGGCTCACATACAGTTATTTCCTGGACATCTTCACAGGATCCCAGATACACATATAATCCTAACAAGTGTCTGTGGAATTATCTGTTCTTCTATCTCTGAGTGGACTGAATTATGAGAAATGTTCTAGTCTCCACCCAAATCATTGCTTAAAATAGTTTTTTTTTGATGGAAGCACTTAAATCCAGCCTGAGGAGCCATTACCTACCCAGTCAGGACTTCTGGCCATCTCAAACCCAACAGGACCCAAAACTGAACTGTCTTCTCCCAAAAAGGAATTCTATCTGGCCGCAGTCAGTGGATCTCGACCTACCTGGCTGTCCTCCCCAGCCCATTACCAGAGTGAGTCACACACTTTGACTCATTTACAATGGCCCCTAGCCCCCTTCCTGCCTCGACAGGAGCCAGTGGTTTCCAAGACACCTACGCTCCCGAAGCCAGTCAGACAGGCACAGTCACCGTTGGAACTGTGTCCTTCTTCTTCCCCTGCCCTGGCTCCCTCTCGTCCACGTCCACTGCCGACGAAGCCACTGCCGCCAACAGTGCACATTGTGGGAATGCTAGTGCCCAGTCCAGGGGCTTCAGAAACCAGAAGGCCACAGGATACCCAAGCAGGGTAGGGATGAAAAGCCTTCCTTCCCCCCAGACTCTATACCAAGCTATCCATGAGCCCAGACCACTCTGGTCCTATTTGCTTCTGGCTTTCACTTCTCTTCACCCAGGTCTCCAATTCAATCCAAGGGGCTGCACTGGCACATCATGCCAACTACACCACCACCACCATCATCCTTGCCCTCCCTGCGTCTTCCCCCCAGCCATGCACTTCCTCCTTCGATAGTGATAAAACACAAATCTGTGTGCATGTCTGCAGATGTGAGCAGACACTTCGAGGAGAGGGAGGGGAA